GTGTAGACAAGCCCTGAATCCAATATATAAATACACAAAAAAAGTTATTGTCAAGCAGTTAAGTTATTACACACGCAACTTACCTGACACAAACTCACAAAAGTAAAGAAATAAAGTTAAGCAACCGATCAGTTCATACACTCTTCTCCTCGAACTGCAAACATGCCCATTATCATTGCTATAACTATCGTATACCACAGACCATGTACTCCCTGTGCCCTTCTGCACACCTGTTCACCAGATATGTTTTCCCTATCAGTACGAATGTCTGGAGTAGAAATAGGTTGTGTTAAATGAGGGTAATTTGGTAAAGGGTTGTGTGCAGAAGGGCAGTTAGAAGGAGTGGTGAAGGCCGGCATCAACATTTTTGTGATTTTTTACAATGCACATTTTTCCCCTTTAAAACAAAAAAAAATTCTTTCCCTCATTGCTATGCAAAAGACCCACATAAATAAAAGTTGAAAGTGACTGGGTGGTGGTATTTAGAAATAGTGCAACTAACTATATAAACAGTTTTGATTTTTTTTAAAATCCTCTTTTTTCATTTTGTTTACTATAGGTGAACAGAATTATTTTTTTTCTCTAATCTTACAGTTAGCTAGTTGTTTGTAACAGTAGGTACAAAAATTTCAGGCAGGAGCATGACTTTTTTAAGCTGTCCTTTTTGTTTATACCCATGATATTTGTAAAATAACCTCCAGTTTGAATGAGAAAAGAAATTGGATTCTTTTGCCTTTTGTGTGTATTATATTTTGTATAGATGAAAGGGAAGTTCTTGATCAATTTACTTGCGTTCTCTGTGCTAATGCTTTTTTAAAAAGAGGTAATTTGGGGTGATCCAAATGGTTCTGTTTTTTAGACTGAAGAAACTTGGGTTGATGGCTACAAGGGTTTTTGGAATGCAGAAATTTTATATTTTCTGTATGAACAGTAGGTGGCTCTATTCAGGTTTTCATAGTTGGCTTATTCTTGATTTAACCTTCATGCGAAGCTCATGGAATATTATAGGATTGTTTTTGATGGCTCAACATATCAATAGTGCAGCAGTTACCGTCACAATAGCTATTACAGATTCCAGATGGGAAGCCGGCATAGTGTATGAAATGTCTTTCAAGGAGTTAGGGTCTATGTAACAAAGGCAGCACATTTTGCGTTGCTGATGGAGAAATGCATTTGTGTCCTACTGGTTAGCTATTCCTGGGCAAATAAATTGGTTGTAGCAATACTAAATCCAAATGTTGTTTTTGCTAACCCTGCATTTTATAGGCTAACAAGCTGGGGTATTTTGGTTTTTGCTTTAAGTATGTGATATTTTGCTAGTTTAAAATGTTAATGTATATGTTTCTTAATTTTGTGAGGGTTTAATATTCAAGTGTTCTGTGATTCTTTGATGAAAGGCACTACAGAAATGAAAGTATATATTTCCAAATAAAATATACAGAAAATCCTTTTCTCTTTGTAGTTTCATACTATACAATTTAAGATATCAAATTCTAAATGTGGGTAACATGAGTTTTCAAATACATATGAAAAAACCCACAGTTTTTCCTTTAGACTATTTCATTTTGTGCTTTATTTTGTTCATAGAACAGTGTTATTAGTTATTTTAAATGCCATCATTGTGTTATCTGACCTACAAAACAGAGGATGACACGATCTTTGCCCCGTGGAATATTAAAGTTATAAACAGACAAAACAAATACACGTTGCCTCTTATAACCAGCTGACATTTTAATATATAGTATCACATTTTTTTAAAAATAAGTGTGTTTATAATACTTATTAGCTATGATAAGGTTGGTAGGTTTTGCGGAAGTGTGTTTAAAGAGGGGTATGAGAGAAAAGAGTGATTGTTTTGCATAACACTGGTGGAATGACATTTCAGAGGCAAGGAGGATAACTGGAGAAAGTAATGTAAATGAGTGGGAGGAGACTATAAAGAGATGGGTGAGGTAGGAGTCTTGGGAGGAGTAGAGGAACTGAAAGGAAATGAGAGCAATGACTAGGCTGTGGAGTTAATATGGCCTTGAAGGGTGAGGACCAGAAGATGAATGGGAGACAGCAGAGGGATTTGAATGTGGGGATGACGTGGTCAGAGAAGCAGGAAAGGAAGTCTGTTTAGGTCATGGCATGGTAGACTGGAGGGGAGCAAGTCTGGAATCAGGGAGACACAGAAAAGCTGCATAGCAAAGGCAGGAGAAGACCACAGTATGGACAAGCATGTTACTCCCAGAGACAGGAAGGAAGGTATGGGTTTTTCTGAGCTATTGTAGAGAGAGAGATGTCTGGATTTTGCGGTGGCCTGTGTGTGCCTCTCTATGCATGCACTTGGAGGGAGGATGGGAAATGAAGAGGGGGGAAAAGAGAAGGGAGCTCGTGTGTCTGTTTAGACACTGATGGTATTGACAGTGACATAGGAAAAAAGGAAAAGGACAAAAAGCTGCAGTTTGCTTTTGGCATGTTTTGCATTAGCTAATGGCAGGGTATTTAGGATGTGATGTTCTAAAGAGAGCTGGAGATGAGAGACAGATCAAAGGGGGAGATGTCAGTATGGAGACATAGATGAAGGACTCATCAGTAGATAGACAATAATAGCTGAAAGTTCGAGATGAGATTAGGTCATCCAGGGTAACGGGAAAAGATGGAACAATGGACAGAGCCCTGAGAGAGACTGAAAGAATCCACGACAGAGGGAGAGGAGAAACTAAAGGAGCAGTTGGAGAGGGAGAGGAAGAACCAGTAGATCAGAATCCAGGAGTAGGAAGTGGCCTGCTTCTGAAATCAGTGGATAGATCATGGAGGAGGATGGGGTGGAGGCATTTACACTCGGCCAGAAATAGGACATGCTCTTTATCTTAATACGCAGCACTGAGATGGTTTATAGTAAAACTAAGCATATGTTTATTGATAAAGAATGTAGACTTAAGTGATACTAAGCAAGAGTAACAGAGACAAATGGTTACAAATAAAACAGAAACATGTTTCCTAGTGACTAAAACTTAATTTTAACAAGTTACAATCTTTGCCTAAGCTTTTCTCACTGACCTCAAACTACCAGCATCTCTCGCCCTTCAGGCCAGAGGATCCAGCGTTCACAGAATCAGAGGGTGCTGTTCCCTTTGTCCCCTAAGTGATGGATAGCCAGGATGTTTGCTCCCATTTTATTCCCCAAAGTCCATTGACTTTGCCTCAAGAGCCATGAAGACCTTCTGAGGGTTCAGACTCTGGGGAGTCCCCTAGTATGCTCACCATGCTCTTCCATCACCTGTTAACTTGATTACTTTGTTTACCTTATATGTAAATGTACTTTCATTGTCCTTTGCCTGTAATCAAGCTAGGCAGACAGTTAAATCCACATTCCTTTGTCTAGGGCAGGCTTGTTATTCACTCTACTTAGTATGCTTGATCTAAACATATTTCCAGCACACCTAGCTAACTCTTCACATGTTAAACATACGTAAATCACGCAATAATATTAATATCTAGTGTGTTACCAGTTTACATATGATACCCAAATGGCATCTTGTAAGGTAAGTATTATGAGAAGTCCTTGTGAGCATGCTCAGAAGCCAAGCAGCAAATCGGGGGGTGGGGAGGGGAGGGAGGATATGACCCTGTGTGCTCCTTATGCATTGCCTCTGGAGAGCAGTGTTCTCTGCCAAAGTGAAAGAGGATAATGATAAAAGGATGGTGTTAATGTTTGATAATGTCAGCGGGAAGTTGGTAATTTAATAGATTGGAGGTAACACATGGATTTTGAGATTGGGTTGGGGTTTAACAGCGATGAATAAGTAAGATAATGTGGTGATCAGGGACAGAAAATTTAGAGCATAAGAATCCAGTGTCTCGTGAAAAATAGAGTGACGGAGGTAGTGAGTAGAGGAACTGAGGTAAAAAACAAATGAATGACTGAATGTTGGGTAAGAAAGTGAGAGGCTGCACAACTGCACTGATCTTCAGCATGGAGGCTGAAGTGGCCAAGGATGATGGAAGGCAGTTTGGAGAAAGAGAGGAAGAAGGACCAGGACCGTGGGAGGCAATAGATGCAAAAAATAAGCAGAGGGCAAAGAACAGGATGATGCCCATTTTGAAGGGGAAAAAAAGAGTAAGAAAGTAAAAGACCAGTGCCAACATCTTGACCAATAAAGCACAGAGAGCATGCGCACTGTAGGGGGAAGATGGTAACAGGCATGGATGGAGGAGTCAGGTTTCAGTGAGGGCCAGGAGGTGGAGGTAGTGGAAAGATCATGGATAAACAGTTGAAAGTTTAAAGGTGGGGCAAGATTTCCAAAGGGACCAAAAAAAGAAAAAAAAAATACACCAGGCAGAGTGAAGGGGAGGGGGGATGTGGGGGTAAGGGAGGGGGAAGCAAGTTGTTCAGAGCAAGAAGTAGTAAATATGTGTTTAAAAAGGTGTATCTAAATGGAATGGTCTATGCAACTCAGATTAGGATAAAGACAATCTTAAATATCTAATCTGTAGAAGGTGTTTTGGGGGAAGCAGGGATTTAAAAAAAAAAGTCATCCTGGAAATGCAACCTGCTTCAGGTTTGAAATGATCATTTATCTGTGCAGCTAGGAGGAGCCACTGGCATTGCAGCAATCTAGCTTTAATACTGAAGGAGAAAAACCTGAGGCCTGCTTAGACAAGAAGGAGTTAATGCTTGTCAAGCATTATTCTTATACAAATTAAGTCCAGAGCACAGCAGCAGACTCACCAGCGGGAACAGATGCTAGGCAGTGATGCAACCTGTGGTGTTTACTTAGGCCTCTGTAGTGACCTCAGTGGATTGCAAACAAAGGATACTCTTCTCTGGAGGTAGGTAGACATACTGGTACCTTCTGTATTCAGTCGTTTTTCTTTTGTTGATAGCATGATTACAGGAACCTGTTAGGTGTGGTGACAAATGATGTTTATTTTTTAGTTTTGATCAGAAAGCCCAGGTGAACTGAATTAGATTTTATTTCTCTCTCTCTCCATTTTTGCAACAATTTAACCAGGAACGTTTAGAAGCCATGATGCGTCGTTCACTAGAACGAAGTCAGCAGCTGGAACAGAAACAGAAGCGATGGTCGTGGGGAGGAGCACTGACTGCAGGCTCAGGAGGGAGAGATGGTGAGTGAAACAAGCTGCCTGCATTGCAGATCCTGAAGTGCAAAATGCATGAGATTAAAGATAGAAAGAAGGTACCTGTTTATAGTTACTGTGATGTTGTGAGGGCTGTTGATAATGTAGCATGAATAAATGCTTTGTAATAGCTTATCAGGTTTCCTGTCTATGGTATCTCCTGGGAAGAAAGGTCACTCCTAAGTTTGTGAAAGCAGATCATTTTAATACAGTAATCAGAAACTGTTTTGGGGATCATAGCAAATGCTAAAATGAAATTTTAAAAAACCCCAACACATTTAGCTTGCTGTATTCACAAAGGAGCCGAGTGCTGCCCAAACCTTTGCGGAAAACAATCTATTTTTGTCACTGGCACTTCTAAAAGCTCACAGGGATTTCTAGATGATTATGCAGCATTCACAGTTTAAAATGGATTTTTCCACGTACTTTTTTGTTGTTGTTGCTCTTTTTGATTTGGTTTCATAATTATTTCATAATCAACCATGAACTGCTTTTACGTTTCAAAAAGGTATTCATCTCTCTTCTATTTATATCATTTAAATTCACTGGGTTTCCAAATGGACTGGTTTATTAAAAAAGAAAAACAAAAAACCCTGTGCTCAGATGATGAAATATGACTGCTGCTCTCTTCTAAACTAAGTGTAAATATATTTTTCTGTCCATGTTAAAGCAAAAAACATTTAGCTTTATTTCACATTAAAATTTTCAGGGTTTGTCATTTAAGAAAAATTGGGAAAGAAATATACTTGCAACATAATAAAAGCATCTCTTATGCTTCTAGAAAGCAACCTCTTTAATTTTCTAGTATAGCTTATACATTATTTTTTTTAACCTATTCGGTAATTTCTTTCACCTCTCTTTGCTCTGATTTTTCTGCTGTATAGGTGAATCAGAAAATACCCCACCCCCTCTCCTAGGTTTAGCTGCCAACACCCTTCCTTCAGACCCTGTGACCTCTACTGCTGCTGCTGATTCCTACAATGGTATTTCAGAGAATCACAGTACCATAGTGTCTCGTTTATAACTGTTCTAATCACTTTAAATCATCCACTGATCTTGTCCTTCCTAACCACTGTTTTTCTTATTATTTCAGTCTGGTACTCTACACTGTTACCATTAAAGATATGGAACAAATGTCTTTTTTCTTTTGATTTTGTCATAGTGAAGCAATGCATGCCTAGCATTCCAGCACAATGGAGACATTTCATAATTTTCTCACTAACTGTGGACTTGAATAACTCAATAAATTCACGTCTTTGTCAAATTTGTGGGCACAGATACATGTTTTTGTAGTTTTTTTGTGTGTATATCATTTGAGTAGCTTGTTCAAGAGAGACTTGATGGGGCAGAGGTTCTATTTTAAAAACATTTCAATTATACAATAAGAGTAAATATGTTATGGAGATAGCATGTCACCCATCATGTATCTATTCCTTCCAGCCCCACCCTCTACATCCACAATATGTTAAAAATTAGTAAGCATTGTTGTTTTAGTATGCTGAAGTCTTTTGAACATTGTAATAATGATTACAAATTCTGATTCTGCGTTTGTCCTTTGACAACTTTATTGAATTTTATATTGTATGTTAGATTAGAATATTAATTTCAGAGGACTGTGAAATAGATCTTGTATGTCTATACCAGGGATGAATCGTACATTGTGGGGTTTGGGGGTTTTTTTTTGGTGGTGGTTGTTTTTTCCTTCAGCTGCAAATATATTTGACATATTTTGGAAATCTAGCACAGCCAACCTACTCGAGCTGTTTTTTCAAAGATGGGCACAATGGTTATGCCTGCAAAATGCATGAGTAACTGATGTACTGCAAAAACATGTATGTAAACCCCAAGACTCTTACTTTTGTGCAGACATGGGTGAGTGTTCACACAAAGCAGTATTAATGTACAAATAAGTGATTTGCAGGTTTGCATGCATTTTCTGGAAGCAATCATTGCACCTACCTTTTAAAAATGTGAACATAAGGAATTTTATTGCTTGCTGTAGCAGATGGGGCCAAATCTTGCAGTTGTCACTTAGGCAAGACTTCCACTGATGTAAGTGAAAGTCATAGTTGAGCAAGGACTGTAGAATTTATAACATGAATGTGAGTTACTAGCTGAGACTTCTTCGTTGTTGTCAGAAGAAACAAAATTTAAAACATAAACAACCCCCCTGAAGCCATCCAGTATGCTTGTAGGTTCTGACCATTACGTAATGAACAACACGTCGTAGTTCACCGCTACAATAATTGGGCATAAGTGATTCCATCATTATATTGAACTTATGAGTACATAGGAATAGTCATCAAGCCAAAATTTACTTTTTCAAACAGTATTATAACAGAAATAAAAACAAATATAAACAGTTGGGCCAAAACCAAGTTATTGTTTTGAAAGTTCTCATGCACAAGATGGTAAAGAGGTAAATGATGCTATCATACATCCTATAAATGCATAAATTAGTGTTGAATATCTTGAATTTTGCATTAGAATAGTATTTTGGAGGAGCTGATATACATCTCACCTCCTCTAGACTGAAGCTGAGAGAGGTCAGGGAAGAGTTCAAATTTGTTATGTTTGTGCGGCCTATGTATTTTCTTCTTGTACAAGTATTGCATTTCTTTCCTTGATACAATTTCATTCATTTGGATTTAGTATGAAGTCACTTGCTCCTGGCATTGTATTACACAGGGTATTGTAAAATTGAAATGTTAAAATCACAAGTAGAAAACTTGTATCCCAAACTGCATCTTATAAAATGCTGGTATCTACAGCAATTGGAATAGGATTATCTGTTCTACATTATTCATTGCCCCCATATAAATGACAAGGTCCATGAGTAAAAAATGAGAGGTTAATTTTGGGAGCGTTCAACACTGTAGTATGAATATAAATATCTTTAATGCGTCTCTCTGCAGCATGTGACAAACTTTCAGCTTCTACAATGAATCTGCCAAAGCAAATGGAGTCACCAATCAGTAAGCGTCTCTCCTCCTCCACAGCGGCAATAACATATTCCCCTGACAGAGGCAAGTGAATATGCTGCTCATTGTCTCTTATCAGCATAAACTCTCCTATGTTTAAAGCACACCTTCTTGTCCATAGATCTGTTTGTAACTCTTGAGTTCTTTACAATAACCAATTCTAACGTTATTGGGGTGGTGAGTTAAATATATTAGTAAAAGATCTTAAATACATGAAATAGCTTTATAGCTAGTCCAGGATAATGCTACCATGTTAGAGACCCCAGGCTGCGTGTGACTAAATGTTGCACGGCAGATATAAGTTTGTGCCATAGAGGACAAAGTGCACCTTCATGTAACCATTTCACAGTTATCTGCATTACTGTGGTTGAATATTTGTGAGGAATGGCAGGGCAGTGAAAATGTTGGATGAATTAAAGAAAGGATGAAAATTAGTTTTTTTTTTTTTTTGAGATGCGATGGTTCACACTGTGATGTATTATGCTTTTGCACCTTAAGTAAATACGAGGTTTATTTAAACAGTAAAACACAGCAAGATTTTCATACTGTTTGTATTTCATCTCGTGATGCACTAAGAAACAGGGCTGAGCACAAAATGTAATTGCAGTAATCCTCCAGAAATGCATTGCTTGTGACGCTTTAGCCATATGAAGAAACTATAATTAAAAAATGAGCGCAGGTGTGTATTTACTGGGTGTTATTGTCAAAAGTTTGTCATCGTTGTGACCCAGCTGGAAGTTGTCACTTGTGTCAAGATTTCTAGAGTCTTTTAATTTGACTTAAAGGCCTGATCCATGAGCGGCTCTGCAGATGATGAGCATTCTGCAAGATTAGGCCCTTTAGAAGGTAATAACTGTACAGTAAATACTGAACAATTTGTCCCTCTGTGAATTGTTTCTTTTAGAACAAATGACAAATATTTTGATAGAAACAAGAAGCAACAGTAAACATACTTCATTTTAAATTGGTTGTAGAGTTGCTTAATAAATATAAATGTAGAACTCGGAGATTATGGTAATAGGTGACTTTATAAATGCAGGTAATAGGAATTTGTTTATAAACATATGTAGTCATACCTCATATTTATGAGGAGGAAAGGCATAAGGATGTACTGTATAAATAAGGTTGGTACCACAGAGAGACTGTGCATTTTAAATGACTCCCAGTGTACTTAGCACACAAACCAGGAACTGCTCTGTCACTGGGGAAAAAAAGCAAACTCTTTTCATGCTGAGTCATGAAAGCAACCATTTTGCAGAACTGAAGTTTCTTCTGTAAAAAAAAAAAACAAGTTTAATCTACTGTATTTATTATACAGGTTGGAAGATAATTTAGGTGGCTTAAAATGATGAAGAAACCAGAAACCTCCTTCAGAGGAGCATTAACTTCTTTAACAGCATTTTTAAATCACAGACATACCAGGTTTTCTCTTGTTCATTTCATTTGATCATTTCACTGGTTTTATTTAAGTTATTTAAAACAAATATTTTTTTTTAGTTTTTGCTTTTAAAATTTATTTGTTTTATTTGCTCCCATCCTTCAGCTCACCGCATGCACCTTAGTCCAGTGGAAAACTTTATTGTTTCTCGACTGCTGACTCCCACACAGTCTTCTTTAGCCAGAAGCAGAAGCACATTAATGCTTTCTGAGCAATACAATGATTCAGGTAAAAATGAAAATTGTGCCCTTTGAAAATGTTAAGGTATGTGTTTAGCTGCACTTGAAAAATTGCGTAGAGATATTATCTGTTATTTTTTAATATAATTTTACTTCCTTTTTGGGTAGTAATGTCTCAAAAGCATGGAAATATTTACATGTCTACCATTTTGTCCTTTTCAGTTCTTACTTTTATTTATAAGAAAATTTGGTGACAGGGTCTTGAATTAACTAACTAAAATCAACAGGAAATTCCAAACCAGGGTAGAATAATTATGAGGTAGCTCAACTTTTGGATCATCCGTCCAAGGTGACCCATTTATGAGAGCAAAAGATTGCACATTAATGTAGTGCTCTGTATCCTCAACACCCACATAATTTCCAAAATACAAATTAGCATTTTAAACATGTAATTTCATCCATAATTGCTTTATTGGGGCTGCAATTATTTATTATGGAATTATTTTTGTCTTTTTAAAGGAACAGATCGTAAAAGGGTTAAGTTCTTGGGTATACTTAGAAATAAACTAGAAGCACAGAGTGGAGGATATCAGTTTTTCTAGTGATAAAAATATATATTATTATATATATTATTTGTATAGAAATTGAGAGTGATGGTAATTAGTGCTTCTTTCCTGTATATTATAAATCTATTATAATCCATAAACCCTGCCAACACAAAACTAAATTTAGCAGCAGCCTTATTGACTTTATGCACATGAGTAATCTGATTGACTTCAGTGGGGCTATTCACACGAGTACATATTTGCAGAATCAGGACCAAAAGTAGGAAAAGTTTTGTGCACTTTTTTTTAAAAATAGACTTTCTGCAAAGGAAAATATTCACTTTTCAGGGCAAAATTGTGATAAGGTACAGCATCTACGTCATCTGTTATCCCCATATTACGTGACTCAAATCTACTCATGTTCTGTATGTTACCCCTTAATAAAAGGATGCTCAAAGGTATATTACAAAGCAAAAAGATGTTCTCTTTTTCCCCTCCACTTTTTCTTTATGCTATATAAAGGTAGACTCATTAAAAGATCCTCATTTTTTTGTTTCTACATGAAAAATATTGTACTTTGGAAGTTATGATATAGAACACTTTAGCCATGAGTGAATTCCTGATTTACTGTTCCCAAAGCAACTGTCTAAAGGAAAGCCAACTCAGAATGTCAGTGTACTCTGCTCTAAATTAAAGGAGAGCTACTAAGACAAAATAAAAGTATGTTGCTTTTACTTCACACAACCACAGAAAGGTAGGACTGGAAGGGACCTAAGTAGGTCATCTAGTCCAGTTCCCTGCACTGAGGCAAGACTAAATCTTTTATGGGTTCTTCATGATTTATATAGAAGACATCAAACGTCGGGCAAAATTGTTTTTTGTTTTGCTTTTTCTCACATTCTTCCAGTTAATATTGTTTTTTCACATCTGTGAAAGGTGCCCAACATATTGCCAAAGCAATATAAGCAAAACATAGAATATCCTCTTTTCACAAACCTTTGTTCAAATTGCAAGTTAAAAAAAAAAAAAAGAACAAATGTTTGTGTGGGGGGGAAGCTCTGTGATTCTGATCACAATGCACATAACCAGTGAACTTTCAAATTCAAGGTTATGTGTAGTAATAACTTTGCATTTAATATGTGCACAGTAACAATAACTGCACTTAGTAATACTAACCGTGCACTTAATATGTCTCAGACGAGCTTTTTTTAGGACGCATAGGTACAGCTTTTAAAAGCACCCATTTGATCTCGGTGACTGAGGTCTTGTCTATGCTTGAAGCACTACAGCCGCACAGCTACTGCACTGCTGTAGTGCTTCGGTATAGACACTCACTACTGCGATGGGAGGGGTTCTCCGATTGGCGTAGCTAATCCACCTCCCTGAGAGGCAGTAGTTAGGTTGACAGATAGAGACCTAGCACTGTCTACACTGACACAACTATGGCTATCCTATTAATCTTTTTTTTTGCGTGTTTAATAAAGAAGAGGGGGGGAAATCACGAAATATGTATTTACAAAGTTATTCAGAATTTATATGGGTAAAAGAGATACTTTAGTGCTCAGGTATTTTATAGGCTTTTTAAAAATGCACTTAGTTTTATGTTAATGCTTTTAGTGAAAGAATTTTTGGTAAATGAGACCATTTTGCACATATGCAAAAGGCACGGATTTAATGTGATTTAAATATCCATTTAAATAAACCTTTAAAAATGTCGTTTGCCATGTTTAATGTTATAACATAAAGTTGTGCTGTTTTTTCCTCTCCCCTACTTCCTCTGTCTGTTCCCTTTTGCTCTTGCTATTGTACTATAACTCTTTAGTATTCCATATCTGTCCTCGTGTAGCACCAGCTAGTCCTCTTAAATCTCCCTACAAGCCTTCCCCCACCCGAAGTGCAGAAAGGAAGAAAGCAGCATCAGCTTCCACTTCTGATGCCATGAAAGGGGCAACTGCAGCTGAAGTTACACAGGTGGGTTTGGAGCATGTTTTGATTGTGTTCCTGGACAAAGTTATGTTGCTTTAGTTGCTGTGTTTCATTATTGTACAATATGCTTTTTTTTTTTTTTTTTTTTTATAACAGAAAGCAGAAAAACATTCACTTCCTTTTGTTTCTTTT